CAAAATTTGCCAAAACTTTTTATCACAAGCATTATCAAACAACCCTATATACTTTTGTAAGACGTAAATTACCTCAACTAAAATTTAATTATTCTCGTGGTTGAACTTAGGGTTGAAACCAAGCGTAGTTTTAGGAGGGTAGATGTGATAATTCGAGAAAAATCCAATTTAAGATTCATTTTGTGTTGAGAATTTATACATTCTTCGTTATTCTTCTTAATAATTTAAGTTTTTAGACGAAATGATTCAATATAATATAGAGCATAAAAAAACCTTAAAAAGATAGGAAAGGTTTCTGATTTGTGTATAATATTATTTTAATGAAAAATGTGTGGTTGAAAAAAAAAAAGAGAAAAAAAAAGTATTTCTAAAAAAAATGAGAATCAAACATGAATAAAAAAAACTTGAATAATGCACAAAGTCTAATTTTAGTGGGCGGCCTTTCATAATCCAAGAGCTGAGTCTACTAGTTTAGGTTTTTGGCACATAGGCTAATTAAAATCCAATAAATTGAAAGGTTTCAATCTTAATCTTTAATTAATTCCTGAGTGGAAGATTCATCACTAAGCAATAGATCGATTGAATCACGTCTAACTGCTTAAATTTTAAATTAAATAATTCGATATGATAATAGTAAGAAAACCTTATATTTTCAAAATTATAGAAAGTAGTTTACTTAGAAAGAGTAGGAGACATTAGCACAGAATGAGAATCACGAAGCGAATCTTGTCGCTACCTAAATATTAATCTTTGACGTGCCAAAAATTCGAGAAAAGTGAACATGGTCTGGCATTAAAAGGGCTCGTCGATGTAAATGTAACTGAATAATTTTTTCTCGTGTGAATGTTACTAAATAACTTTTGGTGAAAAAAATGAACATATAACGTTTGCATGTGGAGAACGCTGAACAATTTAATTTTTTAGATGAAGTAGTTCGATCACAATTAAAAAAAACATACAAAATTGAAATAGTAAATTAATTTTCAAAATTGCTTTTTCCTGTAACAGGTAAATGGTATATATGTGGATCAGATCATTGGACTGGCCAGCAAAAAATATTTTTTCTGAAATAAAATTGACCAGTTTGTCCTATTCAGCAAGAGAAAAATAATTTTAATCCTATTTGCACTCAGTCGTTCCAAGAAGTCATCTGTATGTTTATGGATTCTTATAGGTGTTTCCATTGGATAATTTAGTAGAGTGCTGTGAATTTCAAACCATATAAATATATTTTATATCTTTTTTACAGTATTTTTGTCTAAAATGTCAAAGTTAAAAGTAGTGTCTCAAACTTTTATATATTATTAGTTATTATATCAATATTTTAAGTGACGCAGTATATAGGGTTTTATTCTTAGCACGTTTTCAAAATAGCGGCTCGTTTGAGAAAACCAATATTTTGAAATTTGATTGATCATTTGAACCGTAGACAAAGTGAATTGTTTAGTTGGACTTTTCTAGCTTAATTCTTGAAGTTTTATCTTAAAAGGTTAACATTGTCACTACACCAAAAAATAGCTTTTGCAACACATAAAATGTAACATTTGGTAGTTAAATATTGCTAAAGTGGTCTATCGTAACATTTTAATATGAGGATGTTACCATTGCTTAACAAAATTGAGTTTTGGCAA